CATTGTATATATACAGGGGGGGGGGGCCAAAAAAAAAAGACATTTTGCCTATGTCGGACTTCGGCTCTTTTTTCTTCGCAGAGATTGCTGTCGTTGACGGGAGTTCCTCAGCAGAGTATTCCCTAAGTGTTCCTCTATTAGTGTACGCAGGCTCTCCTTCACTGCCCTCACCGTCTTCAGAATATGACGTCATCTGTCACCGTCGTCAGGCTCAAGGAGGTCTACCGTAAGAGCTTCAGCCTGAAGCTCTTACGCAATTTCGTGAATCGATTTAATGTTGGATAGTTTTCTAGAGGCATTAGCTACCACTGTGCAAATCCCCTCGGAACTAGCTTTCCAGTAAGGGTCGTTATGGTACACGATCCTTCGAAGACACCCGGCACGTGTCTTGAAAAAAGTGTGTTACAGCAAACAGCCAAACTTCAGCCCTCTTATAACGGCGCTCTTAGGATGCCGGGAAGATGATGAAAATTACCGGAGTGTCGATGTTTTAAATTGTCATATTTTCCATAAAAATATACATAATTAGGTTTGATTAGTGAAGGTCAGTTTCGAAATGCGAACGAAATATCGGTGCACTAGTAATTTTGCCCCATCCTGTAGTAGATGAGACGACGTTCACAACACGTTTCGGCTGGCCTGAATGTCACGGAAATTAGGAAAAGAAAAACTGTTTGAAGACTTTCGCATTTTCCACTAAATAGCACCAAGCTCGATGCATTCCACTGCTACTTATTCCAACCAATTCCATACGAAGGAAGAATCTTTCGAGATTAAAAAGGGGTCCAAAACAAGGTGTCAAATTTTGTTGGCTTTTTGAATGTGAGCATGTTTTCTTTACTAGCCCCGCTTCATGGTTCTTAACTCTACTTCGATAGATCGACACCAGACCAGGGTCAGTCCTATCGTTGTTACTTTTTTTTTACGACCCCCCTCCCCCAAGGTGGATTTGGTACGACCCCCTTTTCGACACCTCGACCACCATATTCCTCTCTATAGTATTTAATTCTGGTACCACTCAACCCACCAAACTCCGCCCACTTTTTCCTCCAAAAATGCCGTCGAGCGGGGGGTATATACGCGCGCTGAAACGGCGAATTTTTCTCCCTGCGCTCCCAACTCACCTAGCCTACTACTCGTGAAAACTCCACTTTCACCACAAACTCACATGTATTTCACGCGACTGAAGCGGATACGACCCCCTCCTATAAACTCAACCAGGTACGACA